TCCAACACCCATGCATAACCCACACAAACGTCTACGGAGCATCTACGGATACAAAAGACAATTATGACAACGCCGGCAACAAAGCCCCGGCTATACCTCAAAAGTGAAAATCTACAACAAAACATGTACAACATAACCCCTTGAAGGAGCAAGGGTCTCACCAACACTATGAGAGGAGGACACGCCGCTACGCGTGATCGGCACTGTCCGCTATGGAGCCACCTACATTCATTTAAAAATATAGCGCCCCCGACAAAAGGGACGTTAGTACCATGGAATAGTACTAGTATGTATAACTAAACACCATCTAGTTAGAAAGAACTATCATACAAGAATAAGGAAATCACAAGTATAACTCGAAAGCTTAAAACAATCACCACATCATCAAATAAAAGAATCATACAAATTTCACAAAGTTTTCCATTGCTTTTAGTTTGGGGCATTTCATACTGTTCATCATTGTTTACAATACCACCGCTATCTTGAGCGGAGTCCGATCTCGACCCAATCGGCTAGGTTGCCTCATGTGAGATATATACCTCAATCACAATCTCATTTCCCTTTTTCGAAATTCAATATCAGCACAATACCACCATGTGTGCGGCATGGCGTCCGATCTCGGCCCGATCGGCTAGGCCTCCTTACCAAGGCGTTGTTCCTTTCTCATTAATCATCTCGTTCAATCTTTGTTTCACATATGTCATTTCATAGGCACTTGGGGCCACAACTATCACATCATTTTTGGCACTAGGCCACATTTCACATCATTCCCAACTTCAATGTTAGCTTTGCAATTTAGGATAATATGTGCACACAAGAGTAATTTAAATTGTAAGCATAGATGAGATTTCACATAGATGGCACCACAAACGCAGTTTCAATCTTGATTTAAGGTCTAAGCATTTCAATACATGATTCATATTCTTCGCACCCTTTTTAAGTTATCAAGAATAGCACATTGATCATATTGAGACACACCTTTCACGTATACAAAGTTGCAACACCAATTCATGTGAAATAACAATCAATACATCAATCCAACTTTAAATCTTACCGCATTCACACCAACACCAACAGAGCTCAATTTCTAAAAAGACGGGATTTTAGCCATACATACCTCAATAGAGCTTTCCTTAAATTCTTACAAAATTCCGGGACTCTTATCATTTCAATCTATTTTATAGGAATTACAAATTGAACCAAGAATTAGAGACATGATTGAGATTCTAGCTCATTTGAGCATATTATCAAGCACTAAGTGTGCATTGTGATTTTAGGACCCTTTTGTGAGAGATTTTTATCATCTTACATCCCAATTGCTATCTTTTTAACTCACAACCTCCCCATACTCTATTGTCACTCATGCATGTAAGATTATCAACCTGTATACCCATGAATCCACTTGCTAATCACTTATTTTAATAAAAATTTCGAAATTATAGATTAGGGCACAAATTCTTATCTCTTAGGGTGAAGACCTAGTAATTTCACTTGACAATATTCAAGGATTTGGGGCAAGAATTGAGTGAGGACTTGATGAAGATCACTCCCTCTCTCTCTAGAACTTCCTCTCTCACTCTATATGAAGTAAAATAACAGAAAATGGGTCTAATGGTGTGTTTTTAAAGGGATGGGGTCGGGTTTTAAAAGTTACAAAATAGGAGCCCCGACACAATCTGCGATCGCATAATTGACATGCGGCCCGCAAAATGGACCGCAAAAATGTCTTCAAACACCTCAAAAAACTGCCCGAGTATGCGACCGGAATGCGGTCCGCATACCTGTTCTGCGATCGCATAATGCACCGCAGAACAGCCCCTCGCAGAATTCCAAGGGATTATGCGATGACTGTGCGGCCCGCATATTGATTATGCGATCGCATAATAGGCAGCATAGTTGACCTCAAAATTACCATCAAACTGTCTGACTCTGCGGTGACTATGAGGTCCGCATAGCTATTATGCGACCGCATAATGGACCGCATAAATGTACTTTTATGGAAAACATTATTCCTTAACTTTTAATGCATAGATCAGTCCAAAGGGTCCGAAACATTATTCCTTAACTTTTGGCACTACGAGCTCTCGAGTTTTGAGTAGAAATTTTCACGGGGCCTTACATCCTCCCCCACTTAGGATCATTCGTCCTCGAATGAGGTTCAAGGTTCACTCATTAGCAATCTTTACGCAACCTCAGCTTTTCACAATAATGGAACATATCAACAGCCCCAAATTTGGCTAACTTCCTAAATTTCCAAAAATTTCGCCAGAGTTTCCTTTGTATCTAGGCCTATCCACCAGTCAGAGAGCCCCAGAAACATATCCTAACAGCATATATATATATATATATATATTCCATGGACATAACATAACCTGTACAATACTAACCATAGCCGCATAGGCAACATATAACCAAAACAAAACAGAACAGTTTTACATAGATCAAATCGATACAGAGTTCATAGGAACCAAATGCATAAAAGCTATTACATGGCTATACAAACAAATGTGGGTACTTCCTTCTCATTTCTTCCTCGGCTTCCCAAGTGGCTTCCTCAACCTGCTGGTTCCGCCATAACACTTTTACGGAGGAAATTTCCTTATTTCTCAATTTCCGGACTTGCCTGTCAAGAATGGCAACTGAAACTTCTTCATATGACAGCTCTTCATTAACCTCAATAGTTCCAACTGGCACAATAGTGGACGGATCTCCCACTACCTTCTTCAACATAGACACATGGAAGACTGGGTGTACCAATGACATCTCGGGTGGCAGCTCGAGCTTGTATGCCACCTGACCAATCCGCTGAATGATTTTGTACGGTCCGACATACCTTGGACTCAATTTTTCTTTCTTCCCAAACCGCATGATACCCTTCATGGGAGAAACCTTCAAGAATACCCAATCATCTTCTTTGAACTCCAAATATCAGCGACGAATGTCCGAATAAGACTTTTGGCGACTCCGAGCAGTTTTCAACCTTCCTTATTAATTTTGACTTTCTCCATGGCTTGGTGCACAAGGTCCGGCCCTATCAATTCAGCCTCTCCAACCTCGAACCACCCAATGGCAGACCTACATCTCCTACCATACAATGCCTCAAATGGCGCCATCTGGACACTAGCATGGAAACTACTGTTATAAGCAAACTCTATGAGTGGCAAATGGTCATCCCAGCTACCCTTGAAATCAAGAACACAAGCACGCAACATGTCCTCAAGCGTCTGAATAGTCCGCTCTGCTTGCCCGTCTGTCTGAGGGTGAAAAGTTGTGCTAAGATTTACCTGCGTGCCCAAACCTTGCTGAAATTTCTTCCAAAAGTTGGCTGTGAACTGAGCCCCTCGATCTGAAATGATTGAGACTGGAGTACCATGCAACCTGACTATTTCCTTGATATACAACTGAGCATACTGTTCCACTGTGTCGGTAGATTTGACTGGCAGGAAGTGCGCTGATTTCGTGAGTCGATCCACGATCACACTAATTGAGTCGAACATGCGCGGAGTGCGCAGTAACCCCACCACAAAATCCATGTCGATCATTTCCCATTTCCACATCGAAATTTCTATGTTTTGAGCCAATCCACCGGGCCTTTGATGTTCGGCCTTCATTTGTTGAGAGTTCGGACATCTTGCCACAAAGTCCGCCACCTCCCTTTTCATGTTGTTCCACCAATAAACTTCTTTGAGATCATGATACATCTTTGTAGAACCTGGGTGCACAGAATACCTGGAAGTATGAGCTTTTGCCATGATCCTTTCCCGAAGACCGTCAATATCCGGAACACATAGGCGGCCTTGGTACCGTAGGGTACCATCGTCCACACCGAAGGAAAAAGCTGTGGTCTTATGTTTATGAATCCCCTCCTTCAGCTGTGCTAATAATGGATCGTTGAATTTCTTCTCTTTCACCTCCGCCACAAGCGACGATTCAGTCCTACTCTGCACAATTATCCCTCCTTCATTAGAGTCCGCAAGACGAACTCCCAAACTAGCCAATTTATGAACCTCCCAGGCTAACGGGCTCTGTTACACCTTCAAATGAGCCAAAGTTCCCATAGATTTTCGACTAAGAGCGTCCGCCACAACATTAGCCTTTCCCGGGTGATAGAGAATATCGATATCATAGTCCTTGAGTAACTCTAGCCATCTCCTTTGTCTCAGATTCAACTCCTTCTGCTTGAAAATATATTGAAGGCTCTTGTGGTCCGTGAATACATATAGATAATGTCGCCAAATCTTTAGTACAAATACCACTGCCGTAAGCTCTAAGTCATGGGTTGGATAGTTCTTCTCATGATTCTTAAGTTGCCTAGAAGCGTAGGCTATAACCTTGTCGTGTTGCATTAACACACACCCAAGCCCGATCATTGAAGCATAACAACACACCACAAACCCCTCTGTACCCTCTGGTAGGGTTAATACTGGTGCTGTAATCAATCTTGATTTCAATTTTTGGAAGCTCATTTCACAAGCATCGGACCACTGGAACTTAACTGCTTTCTGGGTCAATTTATTCAAGAGAGAGGCAAGAGTAGAAAATCCCTCCACAAATCTTCTGTAGTACCCAGCCAAACCCAAGAAACTGCGAATCTCTGTTGGAGTGGTAGGTCTAGGCCAATTCTTCACTGCTGTAATCTTTTGAGGATCAACCATGATTCCTTCCCTGGAGACGACATGACCCAAGAACGCGACAGATTCAAGCCAAAATTCATATTTTGAAAATTTCGCATACAATTGGTGTTGCTGAAGAGTCTGCAAAACTGCCCTGAGATGGTTAGCATGATCCTCTCACTACAAGAAAAAGTTTTATTAGCGACCAAGTTTTAGCGACGAGTCTATAATCTAGTCACTAAAGTATACTTATTGGGACGACATTTTTCTCTAGTCATTATTTCCCGATTTTATCTTTTTATTTAACGACGGAACAAAATCTAGTCCATAGAAATATTAAAATTCTGGTCGCTATACTTTAATTGAGAAAAAGAATCACTTAATTATGCATCTAGATTCTAGAAAAATAAAAAAATCGTAAAAATATTCCAGACTTAAACTCCACTCATCCTCTGAAATCCCTACCCAAAGGGCCTAAACCCTCTCAAATTCATCTCCAAAAGAATGACTCTCCGCCCTCTGAAGTTTTCTCTCAACCTTAAATCTCTTTATTCAAGCTGCAATTTCTCAGGTTTGTTCTTTCTCATCTTTCAATCTGCTTACTTTTCTTTTTTGTTTATTTAGTACTGAAGCTTCTAGTAGTTCTTATTTATTTTGTAAAATTCTCTGTTCGTGGCTTAGGATCACCTTAAATTAATTTTTAATTTGATTCGAAATAGGTTTTTAATTTATCTGTCATCGGTTGCTTCTAGTATTGGGTCGACGAATAAAAGCTAGCGTTTTCTTGCTTTTCTAGATCTGGTTCTTCAGCAGTAATCTATTGAAGTTTTTTCTATGTTTGGGTTATATATCCTTTTGTGAACATATAATTAGTGAAGATTCAAAGCGTTTAAGAGTTCAACTGTACCAGGTAATCCTTTGAGAACTCTCTGTTTGTTTTAGCAATACAAGGTCGCTTTATAAAATTAGTTCATCTGCTTGTGGCTCCTTCTCGCCATAGCTTGGCTAGGCAGAATAAGGCTCTCTCACAAGAAATTCATCTACTTAATTCACTCTCAAACAGGAAAGGAAAATGATACATAGCTATTTGTGTGGCTAAAAATTGATAGCCTTAAAATTTTGGTTGTTTTGTACTTCAAATTGTTGTTTAATTTTCCTTTTGTTGGTTCAGTGGTTTGAATGGTGAGTGATGTGTTTTATGAGATTGATGTCCTATTCAAGGATGGATTTCTATTATAGAAATTGTGAATTTATGGGAACCCAATTGAGGATGGCAAATCTAGTCGTCTTCCACACTCCATGACAGGTTCTTTCTCATGGCTTTGTACTTGTTTTCTTGATTCAGGGGTAAAATTATATTATTTATGGTTATATTCACGTTTACTAGAGGAGAAAAAGGGTGAACTTTAATGAGTTGTAGGTATTTGTTTTTTTCTTTCTTTTCATTACATATAGCTTCTTACATTAGGAGTATAAAAAGAACAAATTTGTGATGAACATAGTAAATTTGTTCCAGAAGATGCTCACTCTTGAGCAATAAAAAGTTTTTGAAACATGTACATGTAAGCTTGTTAAATAATTCTGACATGTATGTTCCATTCCCTTTCTTTGCCATAGCAAATATCTGTTCCTTTTCTAAGCTAGAAGGGAACGGTTAGCAGTCATTAGAACCTTTATCTGTTGGAAGAAGGAAGCTCTTAAAATTATATGCATACGACAGCGAAACGTTAAACCTTAGAAGCTCAAAAACAGAGATACAGAACAACGAGACTATTTTCTTGATAACTAGTAAGATTATTTTGTTGAAATTGCTGCTTCATTGAAACAGATACATCAAGATCATGTAAGTCCTATTGATTCTAACTCAAGTATGAATTCCATTATCCTTTTTCTTGAATCATTACTGGTTTAGTTTGAGTAATAGTTTTTCGGACTCGTTTTCTTATTTTGGTAGTACTAATTAAGCTATGATATGGCAGGCAGTAATCTCATCATCTTGCAAAAGTTTTGGAGAACCACTGTCAGAATGATTGCTTCATAACCCATGTAAGTTGGTGCTTTGCGATTTACAATTGGCCGTTTTATATGTTATATGAATCTCGATATTTAGATGCTAGTGTAAAAAATGAGTCAACTAAAAATAAAAAAGTGAATCCTAGTAATTTAAATGCATGTGTTAGTTACATTTGAAGTAAATGAACTTTTATGAACCTGAAAATATCCAAATTTTTATATTACTGATTCATTCTCTTGGGTTCCACCATGGTGATGAAAAAATATGGCGGACTATCTCTAATACCTGAGGTAAAAGTGGAGTAGATATAAGATTATTTTGCATTATTTGTTCATTGTTAGCATTTGATTGGTATGTATTTAACTTCATTAGAATGCAATTTATCTCAGCTAATAATTTGTTATTACATTTATACTATTATACGTATATAGAACCAATGCATTGATGACAATAAAGCTGAAACCTCTGAAACAAATTACTTATTGAGTTTATTCCTTTTCATTAAACTCAAGATTTCCCAAATAATATTGGAACCTTCTACCATATATCACTAATGTTGAAAGAAGATTGTATCGTTTATCTCTGCCAATGATATTTTAAACTTAACTTTGTTCCTTAGGCTAAGTGTCACTTGGAGTGTAATATTGATAAATAAATTCTATCTTTTGTTGTTGTTGTTGTACCTCCCATCTAAGCAAGATTGCCATTTTTTCTGGGTGTTCTTCCCATGGATATCATTTGAATATTTTGAGATGCATTGCTTCGTTTTCATTGATGAACTAAATCTCATTTTCTCACTGTTTCTACTAGTGTCTTATTTTTCAAGCATGGTTGTTCCCTTTTTTCTTTTACTTTGCTAGTTTATTATTAACTAAGCTTGGTTATATGCTGCTGGTTTCATAAGAGTTGTTCATTTTAGCAATAATGATCACCTCTCAATTATTTAACTAATATTTACTATTGATCTTTGTAGTTTTTCTTACTGGATATTTTTTATTAATTGTTACAGCTTTTGAAGACTCACATACAAGTTTTGAAGACTTCATACAAGTTAACAAGTTGATTATCATTTTGGCAGGACTGTTAGGCAAAAGGTTACCTTATTTTCAAAGGATTTAGTTTTTGTTAAGGCAAAGTTTTATATATTTTTTTACATTTGGATGTTAGTTTTTCTTTTTTCCCCTAAGGGGTTGTGTAAGAAATATAGTGACTTATACCATGATCGTACAGTGATACTAATGAGATTCTCCAAGGGTTGTGTAACCAATATAGTGACTTATACTATGGTCGTACAGTGATATACTAATGAGTTGTTAGTACAATACTTGTAACTAATTTTATATATGAAATTCAGATATTATTGAATTTATTGATATTCGTTTGTTTTTATGTATTATAAAATTCATAATATTTAATATTACATGACCAAAAAAAATTATATACTTATTGTGGTCTATATATCACTTTTAGGACCAGATTTTTGGTCCCTATAAACATTGGGGACCAGCTGACACCTTGTGGTTAAGGTGTTTAGGGACCAGAAATATGGTCTCTAGAATGTGTTTCTAGGGACCAGAAGGTCGCCGGTCATTAAAACATTTAGGGACCAGTGAAAAAACCTCGTCGTTATTGACCTTTAGCGGCGGAGGCAATAACGACGAGTCGCGACCAGATTTTGCCGGTCGCAATTGACGTTTAGAGACTAGAAACAGACTTTTAGGGACTAGATTTCTCTTCGTTAAAGGCCAGTTTTCTTGTAGTGTCTTGACTTCGGGAATATACAAGAATATCGTCAATGAACACTATCACAAAGGAGTCTAGAAAAGGCTTGAAGACTCAATTCATAAGATCCATGAAAGCTGTCGGGGCATTTGTTAGCCCGAAAGACATCACCAGAAATTCAAAGTGCCCATACCGAGTCCTGAAAGCTGTTTTCAGAATATCCTGCTCCCTTATCTTCAATTGATGATACCCGAACCGCAAATCAATTTTTGAAAAACACATAGCGCCTTGCAATTGATCAAACAAGTCATCTATCCTTGGTAGAGGGTATTTATTTTTTATTGTGACTTTGTTAAGTTGCTGGTAGTCAATACACAACCGCATCGACCCATCTTTCTTCCTTACAAACAAAACTGGTGCGCCCCATGGTGACACACTAGGCCGGATGAAACCCTTCTCTAGCAAATCCTTCAATTGTTCCTTTAGCTCTTTCAACTCTGCCGGTGCCACTCTATAAGGTGGAATTGATATAGGCTGCGTGCCTGGCATCACATCGATTCCAAAGTCAATCTCCCTGTCTGGTGGAATCCCAGGGAGCTCATCTGGAAAGACATCCGAAAATTCATTCACAACTGGCACGGACTCAAGGCTAAGTGCCTCGGCATCTGTGTCCGTAACCCGAACTAAATGATAGATGCACTCCTTCTTGATCATCCTTACAGCCTTAAGGTAAGAAATAAACCGACCTTTAGGCACTACATTATCCCTCTTCCATTCAACAACGGGCTCATTAGGAAACTCAAGCCTCATAGTTTTAGTCCGACAATCAAGCTTGGCAAAACATGAATAAAGCCAATCCATTCCCATTATTACATCAAAATCGACCATCCCCAATTCAATAAGATCGGCCATGGTATCCCTACCAAGTACCGTGACAACACAACCTCAATAAACTCGAGCAGCCGTAATTGACTCACCAACCGGAGTAGACACCGAAAATGGCTCATGAAGCTGAACCGGTTCTACCCCAAATTCCATAGCAATAAAAGGGGTAATATAGGACAAGGTGGAACCGGGGTCAATAAGTGCATACACATCATGAGATTGGACAGTCAGAATACCTGTAACAACATCTGGAGAAGCCTCTGCAGTCTGGCGACCACTCATAGCATAGAACCGGCTGGGTCCTTCCGAATTCTGCGCACCACCCCTAGCTGCACCACACCCCGCGGGTGCTGGGGTACCTCGAGCTGGAGAGGGGGCTGAAGATGTAGTAGCTGCTGGGCTGGCTGGCTGTGCTGTGCCCCTGCCCGCTCCCTGGCGGGATACACGACAATGCCTCCGAATATGACCCATCATCCTACATCCGTAGCATACGGGTAACTCCAAGTAGAAGATCCCTGAGTGCATCTTCCCGCACCTGGGGCACGGGGACCACGACCCTACTGATGGGATCCCATGTTGCCCTAACTGGGCCTGAAACGACTCCACTGCTGCTGCTGGCTGGGCCCTGATGGCGGTGCACTAGCTGAAGACTGTGCAACAGACTGGGACGGCCCTGATGATCCTCCCCGGAAAGCTGATCTTCCCCCACCTAGTGACTCACCCATGTTGCCCGTAGACCGGGTCTTTCTGTTACCCTCTCTCTCCATTCCCTTCTTCAGTTTACGGTTCTCCGTGGCGTGAGCAAATGCCACCATCTTCCCATTATTCATGTTAGAATTCAATGCAGCTGTAGAAGCCTCATTAATAGTCAAAGGATTAAGGCCCTGAACAAACCGGCGCACCCTAGCCTCCATTGTGGGCAGCATGTGAATGGCATATCCGGACAGGCGGGCAAACTCCATATGGTACTCCTACACACTTCTGCTACCTTGCTTCAGATTCTCAAACTCTGCTACACGGGCTGCCCTTGTCTCAGCAGGCAGGAAATGATCTATAAAGGCATCGGCAAACTAGCTCCACCTCACCGGAGGGCTCCCCTCCTCACGGGAATCTTCCCACAACTCAAACCACGAATAGGCCACCCCTTTCAGACGGTAGGCAGCTAACTCTACTCCATCTGTCTCAGTTGCACGCATAACCCTGAGGGTCTTGTGCATCTCATCAATAAAATCCTGAGGTCTTCTTCCGGATTGGCACCCGTAAACACTGGAGGATCTAACTGAAGAAATCTGTTCACTCTGGAACTGGTGGAATCCCCTTGCTGGCTAGATGAACTGGGTGCAGCACCTGACCTCTGGACCTGAGAGGACACTAGCTGAGCCAGCATCTGAATAGCTCCCCTAAGATCCCCATCAGAAATACCAGAACTAGAAGCTGGGGCTGGAGGCGGAACAGAAGTATCAATGGGAGGGATAGTGGTACCCCCCGTAGGTGTAGATCTGAGGTACTTTGCTCCGGAATAGAAGAATTAGGCAGGGTGATAGCAGGACGATTACCCTCACTCGCAGTATCAAGTAGTGAATCATCGGCCACTTCTAGGGTGGCACTGGCTCCTTGGCCAATTCTGGCTTTCTTCTTAGGTGCCATGTAATGAAAATTGAAGGAATGCACTAGTTAGAGGAGGAATAGTTTCACAATTGCCGCACGATCCAGAATATCAAAGAAGGGTGTTATTCCTAAATGCCCAAGTAGCCTCCAACTTATAGATGTGGTCGACTACACACCGATAAGAAGGACTCTACTAGACACGGCTCCGAGACATCCTAGGACACATTAAAACCTTAGGCTCTAATACCAAGTTTGTCACGCCCCGACCACGGGAGGCGCGACCGGCGCTCAATCGAGTGAACCCAACTGAGCAAGCCTCTTTAACACTTTCTACCCAACTCAATATGATTTAAGGGAACCATGTTTTCGTTCATTTAGACAATAGTAAAGGTCGTTCATTCAACATTGTTAGTTCATTTTTATATCACAAATCTTAAATCATGGCTAAGTTTACAAGATTTCATACAGTTATAGTTTAGAAGAACCAGAGTATAGAGTTACAACACAGTTCATTAACCCATCCAACACCCATACATAACCAAGACAAACATCTACGGAGCCTCTACGGATACAAAAGACAGTTATGACAACACCGGCAACAAGGCCCCGGATATACCTCAAAAGTGGAAATCTACAACAAAAGATGTACAACATAATCCCTTGAAGGAGAAAGGGGCTCACCAAGACTATGAGAGGAGGACACTCCGCTACGCGTGATCGACACTGTCCGCTATTGAGCCACCTACATTCATTTAAAAATGTAGCGCCCCGACAAAAGGGACGTTAGTACCATGGAATAGTACTAGTTTGTATAACTAAACACCATCTAGTTAGAAAGAACTATCATACAAGAATAAGGAAATCACAAGTATAACTCGAAAGCTTAAAAAAATCACCACATCATCAAATAAAAGAATCATACAACTTTCACAATGCTTTCCATTGCTTTTTAGTTTGGGGCATTTCATGCTGTTCATCATTGTTCGCAATACCACCACTATCTTGAGCGGAGTCCGATCTCGACCCGATCGGCTAGGTTGCCTAATGTGAGACATATACCTCAATCACAATCTCATTTCCCTTTTTCGGAATTCAATATCAGCACAATACCACCATGTGTGCGGCATGGCGTCCGATCTCGGCCCGATCGGCTAGGCCGCCTTACCAATGCGTTGTTCCTTTCTCATTAATCATCTCGTTTCAATCTTTGTTTCACATATGTCATTTCATAGGCACTTGGGGCCACAACTATCACATCATTTTTGGCACTAGGCCACATTTCACATCATTCCCAACTTCAATGTTAGCTTTGCAATTTAGGATAATATGTGCACACAAGAGTAATTTAAATTGTAAGCATAGACGTGATTTCACATAGATGGCACAACAAACGTAGTTTCAATCTTGATTTAAGGTCTAAGCATTTCAATACATGATTCATATTCTTCGCACCTTTTTAGGTTATCAAGAATAGCACATTGATCATATTGAGACACACCTTTCACGTATATAAAGTTGCAACACCAATTCATGTGAAATAAGAATCAATACATCAATCCAACTTTAAATCTTACCGCATTTACACAAACACCAACGAAGCTCAATTTCTAAAAAGAGGGGGTTTTAGCCATACATACCTCAATAGAACTTTCCTTAAATTCTTACAAAATTCCGGGACTCTTAGCACTTCAATCTATTTTATAGGTATTACAAATTGAACCAAGAATTAGAGACATGATTAAGATTCTAGCTCATTTGGGCATATTATCAAGCACTAAGTGTGCATTGTGATTTTAGGACCCTTTTGTGAGAGTTTTTATCATCTTACACCCCAATTGCTATCTTTTTAACTCACAACCTCCCCATACTCTATTGTCACTCATGTATGCAATATTATCAACCCTTATACCCATGAACCCACTTGCTCATCACTTATTTTAATAAAAAATTCGAAATTATAGATTAGGGCACATGTTCTTACCTCTTAGGGTGAAGACTTAGTAATTTCACTTGACAATCTTCAACGATTTGGGGCAAGAATTGAGTGAGGACTTGATGAAGATCACTCCTTCTCTCTCTAGAACTTCCTCTCTCACTCTATATGCAGTAAAATAACAGAAAATAGGTCTAATGGGGTGTTTTTAATGGGATGGGGTCG